ATGGAAAGAGTAAAATGAAAGAATATCATAGGCATGTTCTTGCAATGCAACAGTCTCAAGTAGAGGGACGTCAGCATATTTTGGTGTATAGGAAAATGTTGCTGGGGTAACTGGTCTGCCCTTCTTGACTGATCCCCATCAAAAACCGCAACTGGAAAATTAAATCGATGAGAAATCAACCATGTCAACTAGACAGTGTGACAGAAGACAGTGTGAACTGGGTGACTGGTCTGAGAACACTCATTACAGTATATTGCAGGACTAATTTCAGCCTTGCAGCCCTGATGAATACAGCTGCCATGCAGTTGCACACTTGCTAACATGTCTTCCTGCAGTGCGGAGCAGATGACAGCTTGGACTGTGCATCAAAACCTCTTTGGACTGCAGTTTCAAAATTGAACACAGTGTCTGCAGTTCAGCGCTTCTCCAGGTAATTTTTAAAGCATAATTCTGTAAATATGTATGTATTGCAACCAGGGTACTCACACAGCTATAAAAAGGGGCATGTTTGTAGTGTAACAAAAATTACCATACTGACATGCAATCACAGAACATTTTACATTGTAGGCACGCATGTGCGCATAATTCTGACATAAAATCATTTAAACTTCATAATTCAGTGGCCGATTATTGAACCTCTTAAAATAGCTACACAAGGTCAGCTGAGTGAGTAGCAAACATGACCTGATGACCTTCAGGATGTGGGGTTTCATACTCACCCTGGTATGTGGGGAATTAGCATGTACTTTATATTCTATGTTATAGAGCCACTACGAAGTCTGTCCTTCAGCCTTGACAAATGTTATAGTGTTGACTTCATTAGTGTAATAATGCATTTGTAATGTCATTATACCACAAGATAGAGGTACATGTGTGTAGCAGGTAGGCTAATACAAAACAAGTTAATTGGTGTTTCTCAAAGGTATCCCAATTAAAGCTAAGTTGCAAAGCAACAGCATTTTGTTGAACGATATTGAAATTTGGAATGAAGGTGTCTAACAGCATTTTCTGAGCTTGGGATGCTATAATTAAAACACATATACTGGTTTTTCAAACCTTCCTTTCATGTTGTGCCAACTAAAAAATATGTCTAGTGAAATTGTTGCACTGACTTATTGAACTCTGCCTGTATTCAGAACATAGCAAAAGCACTTGTGTCATGATGCTTCATCCTATCAAAAAATATGAAAGAAATCTGCGATGTCGGAAGAAAAGAAACATCCCCTTTAAGTTCCTCCCAAAGCATTGTGGAAACATGAACCAGGAGGGGCTCATTTTCCTTGAAGTTGTATTAGAATCCAAACATGAACCTAATTCTGCCATAATCTCTCCTACAAAACCAAAACTGGCAAAAATATGCAAAAATGAAATAGACCTTCGTCGGATACAGTCAGTTTGCAGTTTGCAAGAAAATATAAAAAATTGTTATATACACCACTGGACCTTCACATGAAACAATATGGAGCCATATGGTGCCAGAAGTGTCACCAGTCTCCACTAGGTGAGATAGGTCAGATTAATATCCAGTTTAGGCATCAATATGGAGTTGGTCCCCCCATTTGCAGCTATAGCAGCTGGCACTCTTCTGGGAAGGTTTTCCACAAGATTCTGAGGGAATTTTTGCCCATTCATCCAGAAGAGCATTTTTGATGCCAGGCACTGATGCTGGACCCAAACGCCTAGCTCGCAATCTCTGTTCTAGTTAATCCCAAAGGTGTTTGATGGAGTTGAGGTCAAGGCTCTGTGCGGGCCAGTCAAGTTCTTCTACACCAGACTCACTCAACCATATTTTTATGGACCTTGTTTTGTGCACTGGGGCACAGTCATGCTGGAACAGAGAAGGGCCTTCCCCAAACTGTTCCCAAAAAGTTGGAAGTGCAGAATTGTCAAACATGTCTTGGAATGCTGAAGCATTAAGAGTTCCCCTCACTGGAACTAAGGGGCCTAAACCAACCCCTGAAAAACAACCCCATACCATTATCCCTCCTCCACCAAACTTTAGAGTTGGCACAATGCAGTCAGGCAGGTTCTCCTGGCATCCGCCAAACCCAGACTCGTCCATCAGACTGCCGGACAGAGAAGCGTGAATCTTCGCTCCACTGAACACATCTCCACTGCTTCAGAATCCAGTGACAGTGTGCTTTACACCACTCCATTCAACACTTAGCATTGTGCTTGGTGATGTGAGGCTTGCATGCAGCGGCTCGGCCATGGAAGCTCCCAGCAAACAGTTTTTGTACTGCGGTTAATGCCAGAGTAAGTTTGGAACTCTGCAGTGGTCTGCCATTTTGTGGCTGAGTTTCTGTTGTTCCTAAATGTTTCCACTCTGCAATAATGTCACTTAGAGTTGACCGGGGAATATCTATTAGGGAAGAAATTTCACAGACTGACTTATTGCAAAGGTGGCATCCTACAGTATGACAGCACTACGCTTGAATTCACTGAGCTCTTCAGCTTCTCCCATTTTTTCACAAATATGTGTAAATCTGACTGCATGGCTAGGCGCTTGACTTTATACAGCTGTAGCAATGGGTCTGAATGAAGCACCTGAATTCAATGACTAAGATGTGCCCCAATACTCCATATAGTGTATGTTATATGCTATATGTTAATGCTGCTGTAACAGGAGATTTTCCCTCTAAGGGATTCATAAAGTACTCTTACTCTCTCTCTCTCTCTCTGTGTATTTTAACAACATAATTTGCTAAACCATTACCATTTCAAGCATATTTACTCCAACTAATAAAAAAGTCTTAGCAGTACATGCACAGCAAATTTCATAGGTGAGAGAGTTACCCAAAAGGAATGTCTTCTCTGAAAAGCAGATCCTGAATTACAAATGCATAGTGAGGTTCTACGACCTGCAGCGAAAGGTGCTCACATCTGAGTTGCTGCCATTTCATCAACACTCACCTTCCCAAAAACTACAGCACCTATCTGTAGCTCTGTGCCATTCTCCCTGTTCGTGTCCCCTGCTTTCTAAGACATTCTTCCCCTCAGTATTACAAGGAGGAAAAGGCTTTATTTCACCCTGGTATGAATGAGAAAGTCTTCATAGCTCTAAAACCTGAAAGGGATTAGCAGCTTCACTGAAGGAAGACGTGTACCATAAGGGTTTACGTATACCACGAGGGTTTCTGCTCCTGAAACTGAGGCACAGAAGGAACAGTGTGAACTCAATAGGGAGAATATTGGGGGGGGGGGGGATTGTTGCCCGACTTCTTTGTCTCCTTATTTCTCTGTTTCTCTTTGCATATATATCCTATAAACTGTGACAGACACTTTAGACAGTTACAGTGCAGAAGATCTGAGCTCAGCAGCTCTACCTGATTTCAATCAATATCTACAATCTGTGCTCAAAACCTGCTAATGGCTCTTTTACTGTGGAGCTTTCTGAGGAATGACTGACAGGATGTGGCATAAACACAGGCCCTGGGCTTCTATAAATTATGTACGTTACATTTAATTTATTTAGCAGATTCTTTTATCCAAAGTGACATGCATTTTTTAAAAGCAGTCCCTGAAGCAGCGGAGGTTAGGGGCCAAAGGCTGAGGTAACTCTGTCAAACTGGGGATTTGAAACGGCGAACTTCCAATTACAGGTACAGCATCGAAACCCATTGAGCCACGCATCTCAATTTTCAGTTCTCAACAATAGAAAAAAGAGATGTTTAACAATATAAACAAACATGAAAACCTGCATAAAAGTGGGGTCTATATCACAAAGCAAAAACTGTTAGTTTGCTAGATAACTTGTCAGAATTAAGCTACTCCAGTTTAAATGGACTTTATCTTTACATTTATCCCAAATCTGATAAGTTGTCTTGTCAACCCAAAAATCTTGCTTCATTATACAGGCAGGAAATGTAAAAAAGCCAAATCTCACTCAGTAATTGTTAGCTGTCCTTTAATAGTATGTCATCACATATTACTCTAGGCTTCTTGTTAGTTGACATTTCTATACTTTAAAAATAAACTTTAGAATAAATACAATGCATAGAAATTTTGGCTGATGGTAACTTTTTTTTTGCTTTGTGAATGATTTCATAATTTATCTCGGTTGTGGTAAATTGCATCTAGTATTTAATATAGAAATGTAGAGTGCACACGACTACTGTAACAGTACCTGTGAAGATTGAGAATAACATTACCAAAAGAAATGAACAACTCTTTAGGGGTGTATATGAAAGCACAAAGTTTTCTGTAAGATAGTAATTATCCCATCTAGTTCCTAATTGTTGTCTTCCTATTGGCCGTGCTTAACTGATATCGTAACAGATTGCTTGAGCAAACTGTTTTGCCTCATCAGCAACTCACAAGCTCCTCCAGGTGCATTTCCTGTGTATGGATTGATGTGTGTGATGCTCATTTTGTATTAGTTGTTATCTGAAGCAGTAGCTATCAAACTCACTTAACAGATTTTGTAAATAAAGAAATCCGTGCCCCCCCCCCCCCCCCTCACACATCTACAACATGCGTACAAATAAGAGGTACATAAGAGCGCTCAATGACGGAAAACGGCTGTGTCAGAGGACAGTTTACGATGGCACAGCAAGTCCAGACGACTGGCTGAGAAGGCAGAATCAGCATCAGAGGAGCACAGAGAGAGCATACAACAGCAAGCCTTTCAGGAAACACGCCACCCGCATTTTTAATAAGAAACAATGGGGTTTCAGTACCTGCAGCGCTTGACCTCCTAATTTTAGAACAATGACATCAAAGTCATGAAAAATGCTTTATATTAATACCGTGTACAGCACACTTTTTATGTGCTTGTTAAAAATCCAGACCAATGACATGTCAGCCATTTGTTGTGAGGAACACTTAGAGGTACGGCACCTATAGATTCTTGATAAGGTTTATTAAGTATTGGTTATATGAAACATTGTATTCTCTGGTCATTTGAAACAACGCTGAATATAAATTACTTAATATTCAAAATTAAGAATACATTACAGAAAATAAACACATAACATTTAAAAAAACTGGAGTTATAATTGATATACAGTATTTCTATTTTCTAAGTCATTTTGTATGCATAGTACATGTGTACTGAAAATACTGTTGCAGCCACTCTTTGTGTATGTACGTGTTTTTGTGCTGAAACACACCTGAGTCGGGGTCACAGAGCTGCTCACACGGGGTGGTGGTCCTCTGTCCGCAGTAGTCCCTCACCCACTGGCTGCTGGAGTTGGTTTGGTAGTAGAGGACCAGCTTGGCAGGATTCAGCCAGTCCGACACATCAAGGTAACTCCCCATGCTCACCACAAAAATGCTCCCTACCTCCAACAAAGGGGACAACAATTCAAATCAGGATCAATAAGGATTGCATTTTCATTTGAACTCACATTCTAAATTGTTGATAATAAAAAGCACAGAAATCATAGTCAGCAGCCATTATTCTCGCACAAAGGAACTTGTATATGTACAGCCACCGGTATGTAAGTGTAGTCATCAGATTAAAAATTTCACAGTCTTGTGTAAGTCCTTATCTTAAAGTGACCTCCTTTAATTCAACATCCATTTAATGTTCAAAGAATTATATTTAACACACATGATACATCATAGACTTTTTCCACCACTTGGATGCAATGAATATAAACCAGTCTGGTTAACTGAGTGCATAGATCTAAAATTAAAATCATTTGGAAAACGATATGTCACGGCCCAGGACGCATCTGCATCATTGATGATGTCAGCAAAACGACAAATCATATTTTTTCTGATCATTTCCAGCTATCTGGGACCCTTTTCACTTAAGTATGTTCAGTTTCTCCACAACAAATCAGTCCACATTTAAGAATGCAGCCTAAATCACGGACTAAGAATTCAACAATTCATTGTTTTTGCATATGAGAAACATAAATATACAAGAAGTTACTTTTGCAGATGGGAACACATTATCAAATTTAGCATTTTGATTCAACCCTGCTACAGTAACTATCAACCTGTTTTATTAATAATACTGCAAGTTTTGTGTTATAAAAGCATTTTGCCCTTGTAAACATGAATGGCTAAATGGCCTGTTTACCAAATATCCGCTGCCTACGTGAACGAGAAGAGAAAGGTGGGAGAGAGGGGGCCTCACCGTCAGCAACGAAGTGCTCTGGGACGTGCAGGATCACCTTCACCGTGAGGGGGCAGGACAGCTGGCTGCTGTACACCACAGCTGAGATGCACATGCTGATGGTGAGCAATGTCAGAGTGGCCTTGTTCACTGGGCTGCGCACAGCACCTGGATCAAGCACAGGCCGTGACGATATGCATGATGGGTACATTCACCCACAGCACCTTAAAACTGTTTTGCTATGTCATGGCATCAAAACTATGTATTCACTGACTCATGGTGTCTGAAATTTTTCAATAAATTGTTACAAAAATCGCAACCTTATAAATTTTCCGGTTGCCTTACATGTACATTAAGTTAGACTTGATTAATCACCAAGAGAAATAAATCTAGGCATGCAGGTGATTGATTAAATACCAGTTTAGAATTTGAATTTGACAAGACATTCAGTTTTATTGTACTCTTATCTTTCTACGCCATAGTCGTTTATCTTAATAATGGCTAGAGATGTCTGAATCTATATATCCTTACGGCACCTTCCTTGACTAACACGCAGAACAATCTTTATGGGACGAACTTAATAAAGGTTATCACAGGGGTGTAACAGTGACATCAGCAACTACCGCACTTTTATTTAAAAGCAATATTTCACAGTTATGTCAACCTTTACCTGTGTGCTAAAAGACTCCGGGAAAATAAGACAAAAGGGAACATAAATCAATAGAAAAAAAGTTAAAGACAATGTCACTACTGCATCTGGAATCCAGTTTACATTGGAAGAGGGAGACAGCTTAGCGGCCAAAAACAATAAGAAACTAAAGCAACAGAAAAACGCCTATTTTTTATTCTATCACATAATATTTTAATTTGCTCAGTCCTTATCAATTGTAAACTTCAAGGATCTTTGAATGATCATTTGGGGAAAAATCAAGTTTACAAATGAAATCCAGAAGGTGAGGTGAATGGCACTTTACATAACATCACACTATTTGTTTATATTTGTTTGTTTCAGTATTAGATTATTTAACCCCTGGGAGTCTGAAGGTGTTTTGGAGCCCTGAAGAGATTCTGACATGTCCTGACATTTGTGTATTTTTCAGTTACTTATAAACTGTATGTGGTATGGCTTAATTGATAAAGTTATAAATGAATTTTAAAAATGCAAAGATTTTGTAAGAACTACATTAAATTCAGGGCTGCCACCTTAAGACATATTGTGCCCAAGATTATATCCTCTGTTGCGATGTACTTTACCATCTGGGAAATGTGAAGACACGTGCAGACTAACCATAAAATCCTAATCATCTCGCCAGGCATGGCATAGTGAGTGTGTAGATAGTGTGTAGATAGTGTGTAGATAGTGTGTAGATAGCTAATAATGGTGACTTGCAAAACAACCGCAAAGATGCATATGCATGTTGCTTATTGCTTTGCATTTTATTCCTGTACAGATAAATTTTAAATATGCTGAAGTGTGACATTAATAACAACAGTGATAAAATATGAATAGACTTCTCTATGAAATCTTAGAAAATAGTAACAGACCTCTCCATCCATCCATCCAGCATAGATTTATCCATCCATCCATCCATCCATCCAACTATTTTTTCTGGTCATGGACGCAGGGTGGGCTTGAAACTCCCCGGGCGCTGAATTAGCTGCCCCCTGCTATGTCATGAAAGTCACATATGGGTCAAATGCAGAGGACACATTTCGTTGTTGCACACTGTGTGCTGTGGTGTGTCGACAATGACAAATAATCACAAATAAAAATAAAAAATAAACTGGTTCATTCATGATTGTTGTCCAGACTGACAGACAGACACTTTTGGTAAATCTATGGAAAACCAACTTGTATCTGTATGGAGACCTTATTGCAAAAGAATTAAAGGAGAACAATTGGGGAGCTTTTCCATCCTTCCGTTTTACTTTTTTTATATTTTTGTTTCTACTGCTTTTTATTTCGTTTCTCACTGTTCACTGTCTGTATTTTTTGTTTCAGCATTTGTAAGTCCCACCCCAAAGTACCGAAGTACCAAAGAAGTACCCCAGCTGGTTTGGCACTTTCGGTACTGGAATTTTCGGTACTGGTACTCGACTGGAAGTCAATGGAAAAGCGAAAGTACCAAAAGTACCGTACTTTGTGCAATGGAAAAGCGCCCTTGGTTGCAGAGTTACACCGACAAGCTAAATTCCTGAACACACACACACACACACACACACTGCCCATTTTAGAGCATTAAAGTGACACGTCAAAAGCGGCTCTCAGTTCTGAGCTGAGTCATGTGGAAATGCCTTGTGGTGTTACACCAGATAGCTGGTGTCAAAACAATATCCATTTGCATTGTTTTACACTGACACACTGACTGATATTTATATTATCATTTCTAACATTGTTTACGGACCTCAAGATTTGACATGGCTGTAAAATCATGTTTCACCTTCACCTATAGTTTAAAAGGTGTAGATTGTTTGGAAAGGTAGAAAAAATAAAAAAGCAAAATCCACTAATTATACAGATGCCTACCTTGATTAAAAACACATTACATACTGTTGTTGCAATTGCAGGAACTTCTGCAGCATGTACCTAAGAAGTAGGTAAGTAAGCCTAGTGATTCTGCAGTATTCTTCTTATGATATTTCTGCACACAATTAGATTTGTTGCATTAAACAACACTCTGTTGCTACCTCCTCTCAAAAGGACGGCTTTGCAAACATTGCAGGTGGCAGCTGGGCTACTTTGAGTTTCCAGTTTAATGGATTTTCACACGGCTGACATGTTAATAGTTTGGAGTTTCAGGCCATGCGCCTCAGGCTCACTGTACTGTGTGACACAAACGTGCAATTTGCACGACTAGCGAAAAGTGGGGATGTGGCAAATACATCAGGCTTTGGATTGGGCAGCGAAAGTCCACGCAGATCTATTTAAAAATGCTGGATCGGCCCCAATTCTAATCTTTCATACTGGCTCAGGACATTACTGCTAATAAATATTCCCTCCAAAATTCTGTTAGCCTTATTCATTAAAACTTTGTGTAACGCATGATTTCAGTTCATCAATTCGAATAACCTCCATTTTTGAGACAACTAATAAATTATATAGGGTGTCTCTGTGCGGACTGCTGTCGCTTCACACTTCCAGGGTTGCAAGTTCACATCCATTGGGGAATGTGGATTTTAGGTGGTCTCCTTTCCGTAGGCAGCAGGAGAGAGATGTGCAATTTGGCTAACTTTAATCGGAGAATATCTCAGAGTGGGAGTGTGTGTCTTGCGATGAGGTGGCACGGGACTGGCTCCAGGCCAAAGTGTTTGATGGATGGATAGAATGAATTGTATAATCTCTGCAACTAACGTGTGTGTCTAAGCCGTGCCAAACGAAATAGCTTTTTTTTTGTCACTGAATCATCAAATTTTTTGATACATTGGTTCATCTCAGGCACATCAGATTTAAATGCAAAATCTTCTGAATTTTAATCTTTTAATCTTGGACAAATTTTTTCTAACTGTTAATAACTGCATAAATAGTTTAATTCTCTGTTATGTATTCTAAGAAGATGTATACAAAAGAACAATCTACAGTGTTTTTCTTGATACCTGCATAAAATGTGAAACTCATCTCGACTATAATTAAAGGCTGGCTAGTGTCACAATGCTGCCCACACATTTGCTTTTTGCGGAAAGGTGAGGGATTTTTTTGCCGATTAATAAGCTTGATGACCGGATGGCCCCTCTTTTCTGCTGGCGTAGCCGAGAAATTTGGCCAGAGGGCTGAAATTAACACCCTTACTGAACTTGGGACCTTGACTTGAAGTCTGATCTAAGGTAGAGCAGTCCCTACAGAACCCTGTCCCCTTTGCTGCATTGGAACAGTTATTTTAACTTGGTCTCCAGGAAACAAGACCCTATACTGACTTGCCAGCATCTCTTCCAGAGACAACTGGCCTTCCATGCAGCTGCTGATGAAGCCAAAACTCTGCTAAGACTCAGATGTTTGGCAGGCAAGTGTGACAGTGTGAATGGCTGCTCAGAGGTAGAGCCAAACACCAGCAGCCAATCAAACGTCACAGTGAAACACAAAGAAAAGTACATCTACATATTCTCTAATACTGAAGGAGGGATAAGATGGAAACATTTTTATATTGTGCCATTTCTTTTAACTGGGCGTTAATTAAGATGGCAACCAAATTTCTGACTTAGAAAAACTGTCTGAAACTCAATGGACTATATACTACAGTATTTGTAGAAAGTCATTTATTTATGGGGTAATAAACATATGAGGCAGAGGCTTCTTTACTTAATGCTTAGTGTTGTCGTTTTGTGTTCATTTAAAAATATAATACTTTTAACTGGCAATGAAGGAGTCATAAATGATGAAGGATTACTTGCATTTATAAGGTTAATAAATTATCATTGTATCCTTCACCACTGAAGCCATATACTGCTTTCCTACAGGCTTGTAAATAAAAAAACATACAGTTTTATTGATCTGAGAAGTCAGAAAAGCTGAACACACAGTACAGTACAGTACAGTACAGTATCCCTTACTACCTTAATACATTGTCAAGAATCACAGCAGCCGGCGTGGATTTGGGAATAGGCACATGTTCTTAGGAATACCGTGGGAGTACCGGCGTGTTCTGTGTGGCGGTTTGGGGCTGATTCACTCCCTACCAACATCGAAGCCAAATCCATGCTCTTGCAGTAAGCAGATAGCACCTGTGGTTAAAGCTACCAGACAGCTGGTCATCACAAAACCCAATGAGTAAGTAAAAGTTAAACCAAACAAGGGATGCTTTGAAAAGCCAACATGCAGCTTCTTATTCACTCAATATGCCACAGAAAGTCCCACTAAGAGGTCATACGACGCAGGCCAGCAGAACTCATGTCAGTATTTTTAAATTAACTTCATAGGGTCCATGCTAAAGGAAAAATGACCTAGACCCATTCAGCCAGCATTTGTGCTTATACTGACTTATACAGTACTGATGCAAGTCTTGACAGTTGTTGGAAATGATGATGTCCTTACGCACTCTTGTGGTTGGCTTTACCTTTGCTGCGACGGCGCCCCCTTTGGTGTGCTGTGTAGAACTTCATTTGTGCTTCATCATCTGCTTCTGATCCCGAGTCCTCTGGCTGCCCGAAAACAGGTCCTCCTTGAGAAAAGAGGATTTAGAGAAAAAAACATATCTGTCACATAAAACACACAGAATTAAACTCATAAAGAACAAATGAAAAAAATGCAATAAAAAATCATTCCATAACCTAGACTATAATATGACTCTTCCACTTCAATTTTCCCACTTAGAACATGACTAACTATATTAAGTCTAGTGCATTTCTGTCAGCATTTTCAAAGTAATAGCATAAATTTTTTAAGATATATGAGGTGTATGGGAACTTAAACAAGAGCCAGCCACAAAAATTTAACAACTGCTGAGGCTTCAGAACCCAGACTTTTTATATTGCAATTGAATAAAACATTTTGGAGGCATTTCTGTATGTAAAACCAAAAAAGCTAAGATGAGAACTGTAACAACACCTTACGTAATAACACCACATCATCTAATAACTCAACAACATGTAACTAAGTTTCACTTCATTATGTAATAACCTGCTGTACATATTCTGTTATTCGTTGAATAATAAAATCAGTGGTATCTCGGCTCACAAACTTAATTCGTTCGTGACCCGAAAAGTTTGCGACTTGAATCAATTTTTCCAATTTAAAATAATGTAAATACAAACAATTCGTTCAAAACTCAGAAACACTTATTTTTTTAATTGTTTATGTTTTTCTGTGACCAAGAATATAGACTTAAATTAAAATAACCTTAATTATACACAAATAACGCTAAATTAAATAAAACTGTACAACTCAGCATACACATGTTGGCAGGCTTGTCGCTCAAAAGACGCCGAAACAAGGAAAAGAACCACAAAACATCCCCCCAAAGAAACTAAAAAAGGAACATTGAAAGACTAACAGTCAAAAACAATACAGCAATTTTGAAAATGTGATTTTTTTTATTATGCTGTACATTATTTTCATATGTCTAAAATTTATATGTAAATTTCGTGATGCGACGCGTTGTATGGCGATGAACTTCTTTGTACTGTAAACAAACAATATGCAGTTGCCACTATGTGTGAATGAAGAATATAACACTTAAATAGGAGTTACTTAATTCATGTTATTAATTTTATGTATAGATATGTGACTATTAAAAACCATCACAAACATGTTTATCAATCACTGAAAGGTACCGCTATAACAGAACGTTAATTCTTTCTCAATTTTTTTTTCTTTTTTCAGGTATTTGACCTCTGACGAGATATAGTAAAGACATACATCTTCAACAAGTTTTTTATACATTCCACAGCCGTTCTTGGGCATAATGTACACTTCTTTGTGTTTCGGGTGGTTATTTGGGGTGCTTTTGGGGGATGTTTGTGTGTTCGCAGCCTGAAACATGGTTCGCAAACCGGTACAAAATTTTTTCGAACATCTGGTTCGTAACCCAATTTGTTCATGAACAGGACTGTTCGTGGGTTGAGGTACCACTGTACTTTGCAGAGCTAAAACAATTCTTTTAGTGGTTGTAGTACATATACAGTTTTACAGACATGTGAAAAATTAGGACACTCCATTAAATATTTAGTTCTTTATTAAGAAATATCAACATATCACTATTAAATCTTCTTTCAAAGTATATCTGTAGATAAAGGTGATGTAATTGCATCATCTATAGTATGCAAAAACAATGAACAAATTCAATTATTTACAAAAAGAAATTAACTAGGATGCTAATTTAATATTTAAAATTCCTCGAATTAGATTCAGGTGGCACCATATCAGGTGAAAATGATTAGATCATCGTTACAGAGCTTTTTGGTGGAGCCTGTCTTATTTAAACCACAGATATTTAGTTTGGTTTGTTCTTGATTGTTGAAATGAGTGGTATCACCATGGTGAGATCCAAAGAGCTCTCCGAAGCCTTCAGAGAGAAGCTTGTAGTGAGTCTGGGAAGGATATAAAAAGATCTCAAGAGAGTTTGGAATCAGCCATTCCACTGTCTGGATAATAATTTACAAGTGAAGAACATTTAAAACTAGCAAGTTCAGCCTAAGAGCAGACTGCAAGATGCTGAAAGAAGTCTCCAAAAATCCTAAAATGTTATCATGGGTCATGAAGGAAGCTCTTGCCACAGTTGATGTCAAGGTACATGCATCTACCATCAGAAAGTTTGGTTTATATGGGAGCTGTGCAAGGAGGAAACCCTTGCCATCAAAAAAACATCTGGGTGACACTGACGTTTGCCAGAGGCAACATAGACAAAGATCCGCACTTTTGGAACAACGTGCATTGGACAGATGAATCTGAAATTGAATCAGTTGGGTGGAGTAACAGAGGACATTTCTGGCGTAAACCAAAGACAGCTTTTGAGGAAAAGAACCTCATGCCAGCTGTGAAGCATGGGGGTGGAAATGTCATGGTTTGGGGCTGCTTTGCTGCAGCAGAACCTGGCCAGCTCACCATCATAGAATCCACTATGAATTCTTCATCATATCAGAGGGTGCTTGAGGACGATGTGAAAACATCTGTCCAGAAGTTGAACCTGAAGTGGTGTTGGACCATGACAATGACAATGACCCAAAGCATTCCAGTAAATCTGCCAAGGAATGGCTTACAAGAAATAAATAGAAAGTTCTGGAATGGTCAAGTCAAAGCCCGGATCTGAATCCCATTGTGATACTGTCGGGTGATTTGTAGCGGAAGTGCATGCAAACACCCTTCAAACATCACAGAGCTTAAGGAATTGTGCAATGGAAAGTGGGGAAAACTTTCTGCCAGTCGATGTCAGAGATTGATAGATGGTTATAGGAAACGTCTCATTGAGGTTATTTCAGTCAAAGGGGGAAATACTAGCTATTACAGTACAGGGTCTCCAAACTTTTTCCTGAGTAGGAATTGGCATCTTAGTTTCTTGTTTTTGCATAGCTAATGCAATTTTGCATCACCTGGTATCTACAGATATAAGTTGAAAGAAGATTTAATATTGATATTTTGATATTTCTTAATAAAGAATGAAATATTTAATGGGCTGTCCTAATTTTTTTCATAACTGTATACATACACACACACACACACATTTTCATACCTGTAATACAAAAATTACTAAATGTGTAAAAATTTTATATTGGTGATATTAACAATATTACTACTACAGAAATAACTATCTTAAATAAGGCAATATTTAGATGCAAATATATGTACGGTCAAGTATCCCTTACAGACACAGACAAGCCTATTTCGATTAAGCTCCTCTGAGAGTTTCGATTTTTATCACGTACAATTAAAGGAGACCTCCATGCTGATGAGGGCCGTAATTGTTCAATTGTGAATGTGCTTCGAAAGTAAATGATCACTCTATCTATTTACACAGAAGAGGGGTTGTTTATCTGATTAGGAGGAAAGCATGGTCCATCTAGAGATCAAGCCTCCTGTGAGCAAAAATGTTATCTGACACCTGGCTCTCTAAAGCTACTCTCTGTCTGTTAATGTTTAAATTACTTAATTTTGTAGGCTTTATTGTATTGGCATTTTCTTTAAATGTCTTTATGACGGCCCGCATAATCCGAAGCCATGTAGATTTTATGTACTTTTGGGTTTTTACACAGATGGATCTACACAGACATAAACTGCGGGTGTTTAAGGGTCATGGAGCCATCAGTATCCAGCAGCTTCCGCAGAGAAATGGCTCTTGAAACACAAGTAAGACGCAGTTCAAAGGTCCAAAACTAATAGTTATGAAACATGAACAGGAAATTGACAAATATTGTATCTGTAGCAAGATTTTTTTTTTTATAGTATAATAAATGTTATATTTGTTTTTTAGAGTCTTGGGAACTTTTGATAGATATTTTGATCTGGTTGATGTAGCAATGCAGCTCGGTTTATCGAGCCTGCTGTGAGCGGCCTAAAGTCAGGGTGAGGTCAGGGTATATAACACAGATCAGGTTTTTTAAAATAGCTAAACCATTAAGCTGTGAAAAACATTCAGAGATTTTGATCAGTGTTGCATGTATAGGGACAGATACTTTTTTCCAAACCTTAGGTAGGTGGGAATGCATCTATCACCAAATCTAAACAGTCGTTAATTCTAAATATGTAAATGATAAATATGTAAATGATAAATTATAAATAAATACTAATAATGTCCTCGCAATGGGGAAAGTTTGCGCTATAGTGTATGCTTCTGTTACACCATAATTAAATGCTATCATCCACCTATTATAACTGCTTATCCAGTGCACAGAGACTGGAGGCTGTCCCAGGAAGCAAGGTAGGGGAGAATCTGGATGGGATGGCAACCTGTTATAGAGCATGCACACAATCATCAACATGCATCTGTGAACACAATCATCAACATTCATCTGTGCACACAATCATCAACATTCATCTGTGCACACAATCATCAACATTCATCTGTGCACACAATCATCAACATTCATTTGTGCGCAAAATTAAGAGTCACTAAAGAAACCAGACGCCTTCCAAATAAGGAGTGCACATGCAAACTGGACACACATAGTGCCAGGACTGGGAAGCAAAGCCACAGCCCAGGAGGTGTGAAGCCACTGCGTACTGAACAGGTTTTCATGACTTTAGAGCACTTAAGGTCTCAGCCGAAGAAAATCATTTTGAAGGCAAATGTGAGAGCACCATGAATATGACCTGAATGGGATTGCCATCAAAATCAGGATTCTCTTATTCAGTACCATTTCATCAAACTTCAATGCTGGCTGTATGTTCTGGACAAAGATATATGCTTGTACAGACATGGCTATTTACTTGGGGAGTAGAGAGGTTACGCTCATCTGGTTATGAATATCAATGTCCTTACTCAATCGGATAACCACCGCTGTGATAATATCAGTTACTTGTGACCTAGCCCTGGTGCTGCATGTCATGATGTGCTGCATAACAGCCTTACACAGAATGTCTGTCAAAGCTCTTCTCAGCAACCCAAAGACCGCAATGCCAACAACCCTGACTACTGACCCAAAACCAAGGTGCTTTTTATTTTATGAGAAAGAGCTGTGGAAGTTTACATGATGCTGCTCTTTAAAAAAATTAAATAAATAAAAGATG